ACTGACCCACCCCTAGAGTGACCCATCACCTCCCTAGGGACTGACCCACCACGCAGTGACTGACTCACTGCCCCCCAAGTGATCTGCCAGCTCTGAGTGACCACCCCACCTGCCCCTAAGGGACTGACCCATCCCAGAGTGACCAACCCACTGCCCCTCAAGTGACCTACAGTCCCCGAGTGACCACTCCAGCCCTGGGTGACAGACCCACTGCCCCTGACTGACCCAGCCCCCCCAAGTAGCTAACCAACCCCGAGAGACTGACCCACCCCAGAGTGACTAACTCACCACCCCCAAGTGACCCACAGTCTCTGAGTGACTGACCCATCACCCCGAATGACCACCGCTCCCCTGAGTGACCACCCCAGTGCCGGGTGACAGCCCCATGCCCCCGCAGATCCTGGGCCGTGTGTACGCGGTGCTGAGCGACGAGAAGCTGCGCGCCGAGTACGATGAGACTGGCACGGTGGACGAGGAGGGCTCGACGACACAGGGCGAGCAGGACTGGCTCGAGTACTGGCGCCTGCTCTTCAAGAAGGTGAGAGCAGCACCGCCCTGGAGCCGCCCAGGGCTCCTGGCAAGGGCAGAACCCTGTGCTGGATGGGTTTGGATGTGTTCTCCTCAGTCCTGCTGGTGAGCAGCTCACAGGGTTACTCTTTGTGCAGATCACAGTGAAGGACATTGAGGAGTACGAGAAAAAGTACAGGGACTCAGCAGAGGAGCTGGCTGACGTGAAAGCAGCGTACATGGACTTCAAGGGGAACATGGACAAGATCATGGAGTCTGTGATGTGTGCAAAACACACGGACGAGCCAAGGATAAGGAAGATAATAGAGCAAGCCATCGACTCTGGAGAGCTCCCTGCCTACAACAGCTTTGTCAAGGAGTCCAAGCAGAAGAGGATGGCCAGAAGGAGGAAGGTAGGTGACATCAATTGTTCACCATAACCTTCTCATCCCCCTTGGCAGAAAGGAGTGACACCATTCCCAAGATGTTTGCCACACCTTGGCTTAGCGTCTCTGCTGTTCAGATTTGGTCTCCTGTGTCCTCCACCTCAAACTGTTGTGAAAGGCTTATATAGTTTATTTCCTTTATTATACACAATGGCTTGTTACAGTTGAGCACATCCCTGTGTTTATCTACAAAGCTGTGAGCTGCTGGAGTTAAAAATAAGTGGTGAAAATACATCGTTCTTGGCTTTTGGCAGGTGTGAAAGTGTTCTGGGTTACAAGGACTCTTGTCCAGCCTGGGTGCTTCTGGACACTTGGTACAATGTCACGTGCATATCACAGTAACCTTTAAGTTAATGTAGTGTCTAAGACAAAAACCTGTGGGTGGGGGGCACAGGGACATGGAAAAACATCACACTCAGCACTCTGAAACAGCACAGAACTTCCCATTCTGCTAAATGCTGGGACCAGAATGGGCTTCCTGTGCCTAACTCCTCATTCTTGGCCAAACCTGGAAACCCTTTGTGTTCCCTTGCAGCTATAGATACCAACAAAAAGCATTTCGTGACTACTGTAAGACTTTGTCAGATGCAAAACACTTCTAAAAAACCCAGTTTGTTTTTTAGGCTGAAAGAGAAGCTGAAGAGGCAAAAAAAGTTAAAGAAGACATGGGTCTCAGTGGAGATGATGACTTGCAAGCACTGATTCAGGTAAGGCCTTGTCTGTTTGATGCAGATCATTGTGTTCCTGGTTTATAAACGTGTTTTCCCTGAGCATCTTTGTGTTTTGGATCCTTGCAACTCAGTTCCTGAGGTTAAAACCTGGGCTTAATGTTCACTGTGCTGTAATTAGCAATCAGAGTGCAGTATGGATGTTGTCAACCCTGTCTTTGTAAGAATCAACAAAGTTACTGCACATGCACTCAAAATATTTCACTCCTAGTTGTAGGCAGTTAGGGAGTGTTAATGCCAGTACCAGACTCCCTGCGGCTTTGTTCCCTGGTCATGTATTCCAAGCTTTTTTATGTAGCTATCAGACTTCAGCAGAATAATGTGCATTGGTAAATGTTCTGAGTTTGGTTTCCTTTTCCCTCCCCAGAGCCGAAGTAAAGATCGAGAAAGGGAAATGAACAATTTCTTTGCCCACCTGGAAGCCAAATACGGGAATACTACTAAGAAAGGAGCAAAGAAGACTGTAGCCAAGAAGAAAAAGACATAAGGCGGAAATAAAGGGCATCAGTTTGCATGGAAACCTGAATTTGGTAATTTGGGGATTTTCTGTTCTCTTGTTTTGGACTGTGTGCATGGACTCACTGTGAGCAGGAGGCAGGACAAGGGACACATCCTGACCAGGGAAGACAAAGCACTCCTGTGCTATTGCTTCACCCCCTTTGGGTGCTGTCCAGTTCAGATCACTGTAAGCTATTCACACATCTCCTCTGCAACAAACCTCCTGCAAGTTTTACAGGTCTTTGCACATCAGCTCCACAGGTGTTTTTCAGGTATTCCTGTAGTTCTATAAAGATGATTTGGAAAACTGCAGATTTAATAAAGGAGTTGTTTTTGCAGAGGTCTGTGCAGTTGCTTCCTTAAGCACTCTCTGAACTAACTTCAAAACAAACTGTTGATTCTTCTGCTTTCAGTCAGGTGGATCCTGCACTCTTCCATCATTTGGAAGGGTTAGGAGCCACTTTGGAAGTGATGGCCCCCACTGCTTCACCAACAGCATTGAGGGAGCTTCAAGCCAGAGGTAGATGGTCACTCTGTTCCCTTTTAGTCCTCTGCTCTCAAAAATCACCCTGAGAGAGCACAGCACAACACAGGGCTTGAAAGTTACTTGAACTACACAACATAAATAGTCTGGTGTGAACCACTTGCACAGAGAACAAAAATGCCCTGATGAGGAAAACTGCTTCACTTTTCAACACACTGACTCCTCTAAGGCTATCAAACACTACATGATGTTACCAGAAGTCTTATCAAGTTTGTGCTACAGAAAACTCCCTTGGTCCCTGAGGAATGGCATGGATACACATGGGACACTCAGCTCCAGGCTGCCTGACAGAACTGACACACTGCACCGTGTTCCAGTTCTGTTAAATTCTATTTTGAAATGGTTTAGTGGTTAGCATCAATTTCTGTCTCTGCAAACTTAACAGGAGCCCTGAGCCTTTCATTTTTCCTTCTGGTAAACCCAGTTCCATTTGCACAGTTGTGCTCTGCCTGCTCTTCTTCTTGCTTAGGGCAAGCTTGGATCAACTGGGCTCAAAAGCTTCAGTATGGGTGATCAGCTGCTCTGTAGGGAACAAGCTGATGGATTGCACAGCTTGGAGTGGGGAGGCGTTTCACAAAGAATACAAGTTTTTTTCCATTATGAACTGTAATTTGGAAAATAATAAGGAAATTTAATAATAAGGGAGATTAATAAAATAATAAAGACATTTAGGAAAACAAGTTACTAGACTAAAAAGGAACAACTGTTTTTGTGCAGTGTCCTAACCATGTTTATATGCAGCCAGTGGTTATCTTCACCTTGTTTTTCACTTGCAGTCTGGCACTCACTGCTTGGGAGTTAAGACCTTCAGCTAATCTCTTACTGTGAGATGCCTCTGCTTCATGTTTTCTTGCCTTATCTGGCAGCCACAAGGACAACTCCAGCAAATGCACAGACACAGCTACTAAAAGCTACTTTGCATCTGTGGGTTGTGGAACTCCATAGTTGGGGAATTCCAGGCATTTTTTTGGGAAGTTTTTAGACTTGAG